AAGGCTGAGAAGGCTGCCGATGTCAGTGGCAAGAAGGACAAGAAGGAAAAGGAGAAGGAGAAGAAGGAGCAAAGCAGCAGTGCACACAGCAAAGCAAAGGAGCATGAAGGAATGATGAACGCATCTGCTGCGTCATCCAAGAGAAAAGAAACTGAGGATGCAGCAACAAAGACACAGGAGAAAGCAAAAAAGGCAAGGGTTGCTGAAGAGAATGCCCAGTCCACAAAGCGTGCGCTGGGTGTTGGAAAGCCAGATCCAAACAACAAGCGCGCAAAGACTGATCACGAAGAGCCTCTCAAATAATTAGAGTAGTCTGTGGAAAAATGGAGTGGTGCAGGGTAGCTTGCTTTTGTTGTTTTTGGGAGCCTAGGATCCAACGGCTAGATTGGAGAGGGTGAATACTATCAAGACATTGGCTCCAACTACTCCAACCCCTTGCAGAAGAGGGCTGTCCTTTGTGTCTTGGCAGCTATCACAATATAAGTTGTAAAAAACAAACATGTCTTAAATTAAGAAGCTTCACCAAAGTCTAGGACGCAGCATCGGAGACCACTTCGACCCCGCGCAGATCCCGAGTCAAAACTTTGGACGATGAACAGAAGGCCGCTCTTGAAGCCATGTCATGTCCCGCTGACATGGGCACAGAGGAGTACAAACGCCAATACAATGCACTCCGAAGAGCTGTGATTAAATCAGCGAACCCGGGTTTGGCAGCAAAGCTTCGATTGAGCACTGAGGGTGAGCGGTGACTTGCTCAACCTATATATGTGCAAGAAAGCATGTTCAGTATACGAGAACTCTTATAAACAATCAATATTATGTGTTCTGTGTTCACTGAGGTTTTGCATGGTTCGTGCATTTATCCAGAACCCAGATGTTAGCGCAATAGAAGTCGAAGAGAAGTTCACAACATGGGCAGCCCAAGAAAGAGTGGACCGATATGAGACCGTGGGACTCTTAATATATAGCAGCTCACATGAACCATTATAATGTATTTATCTCTTGGTACCTTGCTTCAGGTGACAGTATTGCAACTCAAGAAAGAATATGGGCGAAGCAAGTCTGCAAAGGCTTTCATCAGCAATCTGATCAAAGGTTCCTCACCTTAATTCATGTTTTGGTTTGGGGTTCGAACCTACACAGTGCAAGCACCTATACCATCTCCGCCCAGGCCAGAAAGGTATCCCGCATCCTCAGGACAGTCCTTCTGTAGCTGTGGTCGAAGTGATTTGAAGCTTTGATTGATCCTTGGCCGGGGCAGGATCCAACCAATCCGGATGCGCGGATGTACAAAGTCCTAAAGACAGTTCGAGAGGACAACAAGTCCGGCAAGGGTTCTTCGACAGATGCCCCTTGATCTTGATCCTTTGGTTTTCGTGCACATGTAAAACCTTTCCCAAATCCCTAGAGCTCTGTCTGAGGTTGCGTTGGCTGGTCGGATTCGTGACAAGGAAGCTAAGAAGAATGTGGCGAAACAATTGGCCAATGAGATAGACTCTGGCATGGGCATGTTTGACCTGAAAACGGGACAACTCAAACCAAAAAAGGCAAAGAAAGAGAAGACACCAGAGCAGGAAGCACTGTCCCAACTCAAACTGCTGCAAAAGAAGTGCCATGTCTAAAGCGTTTTTTCTAGCAACACATGTTTTGTAACAAATGTGTCTCGATATGAACTATACCATTGAATCATGATCGGGAGCATCCCATTACTTTACCAAGGGTCAAGGGCTTCAGCAATGACCTGGTCGGTGTGCTGGAAGACATGGAAACATACAAGGTCCGCAACTGTCAGGAGCTGGTTCCCTGCCTAATCGAGTTTGTTTTACTATTCCAGCTTGGGATCCCTACCATCGATTCCAAAACTGTTTTATCCACCTGTGTCCCTCCTCTTGGATTCTGAGGTTGACTGCCTCAATGGGCATGTTCCTGTTGTGGCCGAGCACATGGCTGACATCACAAAGGCTGTGGAATCGGCCCCTGCCGATCAGAGTGAAGCAGCCAAGATCTATGCTTGGATCCAGACGGAGAAGGATGCCCTTAAGGAAATTGATGCTGACATCAAGGATGCCAAGCGAAGGGTTTCAGCTGCCAAGCCAAAGAAAACGAAACAAGTTGAGCAGTCTGAAGGCTCAGCTTCGGGTAGTGATGTGGAAAGCGAGCCAGAGGCTGCGCCTGTATCTGGGTGATTTGGCTTGGGTAAGGGTGGCCAAACAGTAACTAAACAATTGGGTCAGTTCTGGTGTTCTTCACTTGAACATCTTTGGGGATACCCTGTGGCACAGGAACAATGTTTGATGAAAGGCCCCCCAAAAGTATATCCTGAGCTGATGTGCAGGTGGACCAGCCGGTAATTCAAGGGTAGCGCACGCAGTTCCGATGACACTAGTCACAATGTTTTCAACCAGCTGCACTGTCACACAGCTGTTAAGGGGACTGCGAAGTCCCCTGCACTCATGTGCCCAAGTTGGAGCTGCTTGCATGATTGCTGCCACTCCAAATTATCTCCGCTGGTGGTGTTGCAATGGGTCAAAGTATAGGGTTTGGTTAACCATCCAGCACCCTGAATTGCTCCCACCATTGCTGGAGAAAGGCCCATGGTTGAATGGCCTTAGATAGTTGCCCATGTATTCCCCACCATCCCTGTTGCCGGCCACCAGCGGCTTATCTCATGCCAAGACTCTGCCTTAAATTTATGGCGCTGAGCTTTGGAACCTGGCGGTTGTGTTGCAGACAAAGTCTGCAGGGTGGTGACACTGCCACTAGTGACACACGCAATGGTCCAAAACTTGTCCTGTTTAAATATAAATCTGACTGTGTGCATACTGTGCTGTGGAATCACGACTTTGAATTGTGAGTTGCAAAGCTGCCATATGTGGAGTTAGTACACATGCATGCACAAACACATCTGTACTGTGAGCCCTAACACACATACAACCATGCTCCAAAGGCGACATCTCAGCAAAGTTCCTTTAAAACTTTTGCCCATGGCATTGCCTTCATCGTCCAAATGGACCTTGTGGAAGACTTTTTGGAACTGACCAGGGACGTGCCTTGACTTTATATATAAGGACATTGCTAATGAAAACAGTGAAGTCATGGGAGTGGACTGTGTGCAGGTGACTGTTACTACTATAGTCTCCCTGTTTCATGCCATTCGGAGAAGGGTACCAGGTCGCTTCTTGCCGTGCCTTGGACCTATATGTGCGCCAGTGCTGTTGTACACTCTGTGTTTGTTGCCCTTCTTCCTCTGTTGTTTGAGAGGCGAAATCTTCGAGATCTCGTGGACTTATGTGAGGGGGATCCGCACAACCATTGCAGAGCTTTTTGGCGATGGATTGAGAGGCAGCCATGGCGCAAACTGCTTCCGGCACCCATTGAGTGTCATGGCCTAAATATGTTAAATGGGCATGTGTTGTGTGCCATGGCAGCCTGCTATGCGCTGTGCATTGCACCACTGCTAGGGTCCCTGTGATCTTGCACGATGTGACTCGCGAGAAGCCAAATTTTCTGGGCATGTGGCATCTAATTTTGCCAAGTGATACGCTTCATGCCAGCACTAGTTTGTTTGCTGAGGCCTCTGTTGATAAATTCTTTTTTGTATTGTTGACCCCTAGGTTTGCAGCTTTGTATGCGTACGATGAGAACATATTTCGTGAGCGATTTCTGGGGCCACCTGGAGTCACTGGCCTGACATGGCATGCACATGTGTATTTTTGGGGGTTGTGTGTTTGAGCCTGCTCGACTGAGGCCATTGAAGAGTTTTGGCAAAGCCATAAAGACAGTGATTGGTTTCGGAATCACCCAGTCCTTCAATCTCCAGATGCTTGGCTTTGGGAAGGTGATGGATGGTGTGCATTTTGCCAAATCCTGTCATGGCAAAATGTGTTGAGATTGTTCTTCCTGTGCAGTGCGTAGGGGCTTATCAGGATGTCAACTTGAACCGCATCATTCCATTGGCTGTGCATGGTGATGACGCAGAAGCACATCGGCGGAGGTCCTTCTCAATCTGCACATTTGGTTCACTATTGGTGAAAGGATCATTTTGGGACACCAAAATCTTGTCGTTTTGCACTGATGTCAGTCAGTGCAGTTCTGAGACAACACATCAGTTGGAGCTGTGGCTGACATGGAGCCTGCTGGAGTTGCAACTGGGTGAGTTCCTAGATGTGGACCCGTGGGGGCAACCCTACCCACCTTTCTTGAAAGGACGGTCTGGTAAGATTTGCGGGGAGTGGAAGGCAGTCCTTGTCGCCCACAAGGGGGATGAGCGCTACATGCAAAAGTCATATCGGCCATTGTCGAGCTGGGTCTCAGATAATGTGTGTCTTGTGTGTGCCGCTTCCCAAACACAAGAAGACCTTCTATATACCCAGTTTGGTCCCAGTGCATTGCACCGTAGCAGCATGACCTCCACGAAGAAGTTCATCCAGGATATCAGCCAGGTACAAACGTTTACAGCTTTGCCTGGATGGCATATCTTTTGCGTGCAGTTTGACCTTCTGCATGTGTGTGACCTTGCTATCATTCCTGAATGCTCTGCAAGTGCGCTGTATCTAAGCTAAAGCTGAAGTGTGAACTTTCTGCTGTTTGGGGAGTGCTCAGTTTCAGTTTTCTCAGAAGCTGTGATCTTAGGATAGAACTTTGTGCAGCTGGTGTCTTTGGTACAGGGGCAAATGACGAGCGTCTTCGAAGAGCCAATGTTCTGTTCACTCGGGCCTGCAAACTAGCTCGGGTTCGTTGCTAGCTTGCAGTGAGAAATAGTTGAACAGAAATGAACAGATCGGGGGTCACATGTGTGCATTCACTTCGCTTTCGCAACAGGCAACCGTGGACAGATGTTTTCGATGAGACTTGACAACATTAGTCTGTAGATTTCGATGTGTTCATTGCATCAAACAAAATCTCCGTCATGTCAGGAAACAACTATTCCCTGCTGGGCCAAACTCTTACCCCACTCTGGTGCAAAAGAATTTTAATGGATCAGTGCCTTCGGCTACTATAGTTGCACAGTGAGATGGCGCTTACATCATGTTTGAGATTGCCTGAGCTGAGGAAGCAGTGGTCATGGCAAAGTGGCTGGAGACCATTTGCTTGAAAGTGGCGGAGGATAATCCTCAAGATGCGCATGCAGGGTGTCTTGGCTGCAAAGTGGTCTGGTGGTGTTGTAGTGCAGTTGGTTTCCTAAGTGTTGATCATGTTTGATCAGGTTGCGGGCTGCGATCTTTGTAAATCTTGTGGCCATGCGGCAATGCATGAGTCCAGCCAACAATCCTGGCCGACATGTTACACTATTGCCAGCGAATGTAGAACGTTTGCGCAGGGCATGTTATCTTTTCAAGGCTGCTCACAACAGCCTCATGTCAGCATTAGCTTGCTAATATGAGCTTTTGATCTAGATTGACAGGTGTCTTTCTTTATTGGCCCAGGTCTTGCTTTAGAGGCGGTGCAGCAGGAAAAATTATTTTGGAAAGTACGTCCAAAATACCACAAGTTGCTGGGACTTTATTTGTTGAGCGTACACCAAGGATATTCCCGTTTAAAAACAACTCAACTGAGGCTAGATCACATCGTTTTTGACCAAAGCCAATACCTGAGCCCAGTTCATGCCTCATGCTACAATGATGAAGACGGGATGGGCAAGATAAAAAATCTTGCCCGAATAACAAATCCGAGAAAACTTGGACTCACAGTGCTATTGCGCTGGACTGCATATGTGTGTGTTCGCTGGGTCAGGATGGCAACAGAGTGAACAAAAGATGTCCAAAGTATACCTTGTGACTCTTAAGCTGTTCAAAGTGCTGTTCAAAGTGTGACCCCAACTCAAAACCGGTCGAAGCCGACTGACCCAACGTCGCTGGTGGCACCTTGTCGACTTGCTCCGCGATGATGCAAAGGTAGCAGAGGCCACCGCTTGATGCAAAGGGAGGTGGGGAAATAGGGTGTTAAATGATTGTACTTCCATGGTTTAGTGTCTTTGGATGGACGCTCATCAATAATCACATGGTTTCATGCACCAGGCCACTCCGACAGGCTGTATATGGTTTATGTAGTGGGGTTTCTCTATGTGTCTTAACAGGCTTCTATTGGAAGCCTGTTGGAAACCCTAAATTTCAAAAACCAAATACAGCCTGTCGGAGTGTCCTGGTACACAGTACGTCAAAACACCACTTCTAGCTATTCTAGCTTTCGAATTACGGCAAAACATAGGGTCAAACAACAACACACACACCCCAAAATAATGTGGATTTACACACTGCATCGGCCGATGGGAGCCCAAATCCCGGTTCGGCGGATGCTAAACATTGTAGCCAGCAATAACGGCCCTCACTACCGGTCGCCACCCAAAAACCTCATGTGACATCTGCCAACCCCATGACGCCTGATGCCAAACACATGCTGAATCTGCTTTCCACCCAGAGAGGTCGCTCCCTTAGTGAAGGTCGCTCCCTTGGAGGCCCTGAAGGTCGACCTGGCCCAGCAAGCGGCGCAGACTTGGCCCAGCGGCGCAGGGTGATCTGCTCAGACTTGGTGTCCGAGATCCGCACAATCTTCCGGAAGGCCTGGAAGACCGAACGAACGAAGGTTGTCCGGCGTTCCCGCCTTCGGTTCCAGGCATGAAAAACGGGAGACATAGATGGATGGTGGTGCTTTGCCGAACTATGGCAAATGGGTTCTGGAACTGTATAACCCTATCTGGTACCTGTATGCCTCACAAACATATATATATATACCTTGAGTCTCCAATGACCCTTGTAAATTTGCCTTTCCAAGAAAAAGAGGTTTTTGAAAGAAAGCACTCTTTTTTGCATATGTCACGAAATGTTCCTTTTTGTGTGTGCCCTGGCAGATCCTCCTTAGACAGTGTCCTGAGACCTTTTTTTGGCGTCCAAAACGCGTCTTTTTGCGTCCAAAAGGCGTCTTTAAGCGTCCGTGCCGGACGCGTCCGGATGAAGATTCACTCTGCACCTTTTTTTGAGTCCTCATCTCTAAAAACGCGTTTTTCGAGCAAAAACGCAAAAATATATTAGACCAAAAACAAAAACGCAGAAAAAAAAGGTCTTTGGAGACTCAAGGTATATCTGTGTGCGTGTGTCTGATGTTGGACCTGTTTTGATCTCTACAGGACCTTCAATGAATTAATGAACCATGTTCACCTGCTCGAGTGAACCTTCAAGTTCAAGTCTTCGGGAGCAGCTCATGGCCCATTCATGGAATGCGCCTCATCGACATTCTGGAAGCGACTGATCAAGAACTCCAACAAATCCAGGATGTCCTCAATGTTTTTCCACGGTTCGGCCGCTTCGGTCGAACGACCCGACCGTCCGCGCAAAGAATCCCACAAACTGGTTCGCTCTAAGTGGTGGCTAGTGAGGGAACGTACCGGAAGGGACTTTGTCCAATGAAGATCCCTGAGTCGTGTATGCTAGTCCATTTGGACACAAATGGAATGGTTCCGGTCAAAAAAATCTCCAGTGAGACAAGTGTGACACATTTTTTTCGTGCTGCAACGGTGTACACCAATGTGTGGAACAGGGGCAGCACAAAGTCAGTGATGCAAAGCCCGGGACCCAACCAACCGGGGATCCGATCAACCACTTCGGACTCTGTGCCACTGACCCCTTCAGTTTCACTGACCCCTTCAGTTTCTACCTGGACCTGTACTCCACCTGTTCTTGCTTAAGTGCGGACACCCATTCACCAAAAAGCTGTTGCAGGCCATGCACTGGTCCGGATAAGGACCTCCCAACCAAAAGGCACACATGAACTCCGACACCCAAGCACCCAAGCACCCTAATCCCTTCTCACACGGCCCAATGGGACTCGATGGGGCTGTCCACCCCAAAAGAACCACTCCAAGGTAGCGAAATCTGCCAGTCCCATGGCATCCAGTCCCTTGGGCTCTTGATCTATCACCCCCTTTCTGCCCACCAATTCACGCCCCGTTCCGACGTTCTTTTCCCCCGTTCCGACGTGAAGACCCCACCTGAGTCCCACGAGCCCCACGAGCCGGCGCCGTTTCCGTCCCGTCACGGATCCGTCCCGTCGAACACGTCACGCCTCTGGCGGCTCCATGAGACCGGTCCACCACATAATGTCCTGGTCTCTCGGTCCCACCGGTCTCTCGGGAGACCGGCGGTGGTGAACACACATGCGGGTTCTTTTAGATCGGTCTGGTCATTACTCGGGGTCCGGTCATAACTATACACACATAACTATATTGCATAACTATATTGCACATACCAATACATAACTATGGGTATTGCAGTTGCAGGGTTTTGAAGGATGATTGCTGTTGAAGTCAAAAGTGAAGGCCAACAATGGCCAACATAAGTTCATGGACAAGAGTCTCGGCCGAGTTGGAGGAAATGACTCAAGCCACTTGACACCAACACGATTTTGGAGGACAATGATGACCACTTTGGACTGGGTACTGCTACCTAAGATTGAGATGGGCATCCCGGAGAGCAACAAAGAAATACAAACAATGATTTCAAGTAACTATAAGAGTAGCCAATAGCTAGATGACGTTCACAGCTCACGACAAGTCTGGTATGGTGATATCTTCGATGTTGTGTTGCACATATTTGTCCCACTGGTAGTCCATCGTGCCAGGGTACATGTAAATACTGAAGCGCTGAACACAAAAAACCTGCCGTTGCCACATATCAACAAACTGCTTGTTCATGAAACTTTGACCAGCACTCGCAAGGGTATAGAAAGAACACCTGTTCTGAGCTAGGTCTAGGGTGCTTGGCAAACACCCTGGCTTGCCGAAGCGCGCGGCAACCAACTTTGGCAAGAGCGCCCCGTAACCCTCCAGGACTATTCCCCCGAGAAAATGTATCAACAATTGTAATAACCCTAGAAGGCAAACAGGACATTCACCGATTCCAAGGCTCACAAAAAATACATAATATAATATTAATTAATATATAATATATATATATATTATGCCATTATCTGACTACTCTTCCCGCAAGCTTTTACTCTTGACAACATCCAATCCAAAAACAGTCGTCCTGCTCCCGCGTGCTGGCCATGATCTTCGAATCGTAGTAGCCATACCTCAGCCGACATGTTCCAAACCCACATGCACCACTTTCAGCAAGGCCCAAATGAAGCAAGGCCCAAATTTGGGACATCCACTCAGAGGTAAAACTCCAAACCGGTCACGAACGAGGTCGCGAATCGAAGCACTTTGTTGAGACTTTGAACCACTTAGCGGCATGAGGGCCCCCAAGTTTGGTGGTTGGAGATATGGCTGTGGGTTATGGCACCCGGGCATCCTGGTGGACCAGCGAAAAAATGCAAAAAAATATCTATGTTTGGTGGAAGAGGTTGGGTCAACCAGGATCCAACCAACTCCACCGCATATGACATGCCTTATTACAAAGAGGTTGGGTCAACCATGGCATGTCAACCTTCCATGTTTGGAAGAGGTTGAGTTCCTCACAGCCTTTTTTACACCCTATCGAACAAAGACATCATTGGGGTGGTGCCATCTACTCGAGTCAAGCACTGCAAGTGTTTGTGTGTTTGTGTGCTTGACTCTCAAGAGGGAGATCAAAGCAGGCCTCCACGTCAACATCCCGGAAAGCAGGGTGACCAACGCAGCGGACAGAAAGCGTCTGCCAGTAATTTGTCTGATCTGATGATCTTGGAGCTGCCAAGCACGAAGCAGAACAGAACCCACGAGTTATAATATCCTGGGGATGTTCTAATTTCTAATATATATTGTTCGATTAGTGTCCCCCACAGTTTCCCTGGGAACAACAAAGGTTTGCCTGTTCTCGCCGAGCTTAAAAATTTACCTTTTCTTGCCGAGCGGATCTGAGTGGGGAACCAAGATCCCCCAAAACGACTTTGCAGGTTTTCCACTTTTCCATCCTTTTCCTGGGTAGGCTGTTCAAGTCAATCCGGCCACCTCGGCCAGAGGTGCAAATTCGGGCGCTCCGTCCGTCCCGTCCGTCCTCTCTCCCCGTCCTCTCTCCGGTCTCTCCGGAACTCGACTCCAAGGCACGTCTCGGCCAGGCGTCTCCGAAACTCATAGTCTCGATTCTCAGGTGCACACTTGTAGCTTCCGCTGAAGATGCCCTTTGTGGGGCACTGCTTGAAACTCGGCGCGGTGTGGAGCGTTTTGGTGACGGACGGCGGGAGATGAGACGGGATGAGGCGCCCGGCATCAGGGTGTTGTTGGGAGGACGGGCCAGGGATGGACAAAGACAAGCACTTCATACTCTAATTTGGGGTTGCAAGCGCAGGTGCAAGTGCAAGTGTGGAAATGTGCGAAAACACTGCATCCTATACTACAAGCAATCATCAATTGCATGCAAACGTAATGCAGCTGCCTTTCTTGGTGACTGTGAGCCCAATGGAACCCTTTCCGTGTTCCGCAAGGATTTCCCACCCTCAGTCCAGTTGTTCCTCCTTTACGCCATAACCCTCTCAAAGCTTCAGATCCCGAAGGCAATTTCAGGCAAAGCCAAACAACAAAGCAATCATATGCAAAAAACACCACTATGAGACCTCGCGAGTGGTTGGGGAGCTATACAGTCTCCAGGAATCAACACATGGGGTGTAAGCTCCTGGCTTTGCTGTCCAAAAGGCTGCGGCCCAAAGTCCTTTCATCGCTACATCTTCCAACATCTACCAACCGCGGCCCGCCTCAAGACTCACGATACGCTCACCACCAACTGTCTACTTTCCAGCACGCCAGCAGGCAGCACCGCACCCTTTAACTTTTCAACACACATTTGTGAGCTTCACAAATGTTGCAGCACATGAGCACAAGGTGTCGACACGCCGTAGCAACAGAAGCACATTGGAGTCAGCTCTCGGATCTGCCACACAGATCAGTGTGAGCAATGTTGCACCTGGCCTCATGTCATGGGACTCACCCCTCTCCCACCTATAGTGGTATCTTATATAATAAGAGCTTCATTTCATGTGATACCACCATGAGAATACCATTATGTAGTGGACTCTCCCTTCCACACACGTTTTAGTTATATCATGTGTTTTCTTCTGGGATGGTCCTTTCTCTGTGCAACCGTCTGAGGGTCCTTTCCCTGAGGCAGAGAAGCCGCCCCCCGCTTCCACCAAAGGCTTTGAAGGAGAGGTTGGTGTCATGCAAGGGCCAGCTACACAAGGTGAATTCACAGTATCATACAGGAATGGCTGTTCCATTCACAACATCGCCAGGACTACTAAAGCTGAAGCTTGTAAAGTCCTAGCCGAATGAGTGCAACTGTGCAACTACAAACTCAACCATGAGCAACTACAAAGTCACGGCAAAGGCAAGTCAGTTATGTACGGATGCATGGGCATTCCAGCGACCAAAGTGTCCAGCAGCAGCAAGTGCCAAACTGATACAAAGACCATGCTTCCTGCTGATCGACACAAGTTAAATGAACGTGGGTCAACCGCCGGTATAATAAGGTGTTATTGTGGTGTTTGTGCTATCAGCTTCGCTTGATTTTATACGTTTGGCCGCCGCAACACAAAAAAGAGGTTCCACAAAACGCATATATATATATATTATACAAAAAGCCGTTATCAGTTCAAAGCTTTTTCGCAGGACCAACAGCGCCTAACGGTCATTGGACATGGATTCCCATGCAGGCCCTTCCTCACAAGGTGTCAGAATGGTGCTCACCTGAGACGTGGGTCAAAGGCACACGTGGTCGTCTTTGTAGTAACACAGCTAACACATGCAGTTTGATTCAATATATGCGTGTATATTTATATATAATGTGGATGCTGTTTGATTAATCACCCCTCCCAGGATATAGTGTCTACACATTGTTTGGAATGATTAATAACCCCTCCCAGATTATTGTCTGCACTGGTTTTTAATGTTACTTGTCTTGTTTAACAGTATATGCATTATTGTTTGTTGTTTAAATGTTGTTTGTTAATATTGTATATATGTTTTTCTGTTTACGTAAAACATTGTTTTATTAGCTAAACCTAATTATTGCATTTTCTGTTGAATTTGTTTATGTTTATTTCTATTTTTGATTTCTGTACAGTCGAGATGTAATACTATCCCATTAACGTCTCCTGCAATAATGTCTGTTCTTTAGGTCTTTAATCAAAACACCTCCTTGAATAATGTCTATTGTCTACGCTTTTACATTGTTCAATAGTAACTACACCTAGAATAGTGTTTAATTACCTTTTATACTTCCTGTTGAACTGCTTTTAACTCCTTTTGATTTCCTTTTAATTCCTTTGAATTCCTTGTGGCTTCATTTTTAACTCCTTGTGATTTCCTTTTAATTCCTCGAATTCCTTGTGACTTCATTTTTAATTGCTGTTGATTTCCTTTTAATTCAGATGAACTCCTTTGGATGTCCTTTTACTTCCTTTTGATTTCCTCATGGTTTGTTCAGAAAAAATCAATCATCAGGAGTCTAATGGATTCGACTAGGGGGACATGCTATATATTCAAGAGCCCACCTTATACATTACGTATTTATACATAACATATGCATATTCACCTTATGTCATAATACTGTTCATCCCCATCCATGCTGAATCAATGGCTCGCTCGGGCGTTTGCCCTTCACTGCATAACACTTCACGGTTCGACGCAGGGAGAAGCACATATTTAACTGACCTCAGGAGGGGAACAAACATACACCCTATAGCACTGACCTCACGCCATCTGGTTGGTGGTTTCAACTGACTTTTTGCAAGTCCAGCCAGTGGATTCAAGCATTCCAAGCAAAGGCTAAAAATATATCTCAGCCATCGATTTCCAAGACCTTCAGAGTGATCTTTTGGAAGTCTTTAAGTGACGTCAGGGACAAAGTGACCTCATATAGGGATCTCAAAAAGGTCACTTTGAAACCATTGCTTTACCAAGGATTTAGAGTACAAAACCAGATCAAGCATTTGAACAATTGTCTTGGAATTCTAGGGGTACAAGAAAGCAAGCAGCATCTTACATAAACACTGCTTGCATGCAAGAGCATTTGTCGAAACTGATAGGAACCGTCACACCAACAAGCCCCACAACCAACACCTCGCTTCAAGTTTGGTACATCTTTCAATGGATCTTTGCGGACCTGTGAGTCAATGATTTTCTCTGCATAGTGTATGACAACATATAATCCACAAACACACCGCACATTCATTGAACAAGTCATTTAGACATAGTTATACAGTTGTACATTTAACTATATAATGAACTAAAAAACCGTATATATATATATAACTAAGTATATCATCGTTAAATAATGTACCTCTCGACAGTCTACGCACGTCAACGAACTTCTTGCACCAAACATCCCCCACGGGGTTCTTCTCACTGTGGGGGGGAATACTGCCGTCCAGCTGCTCATAGCTGCACACCGTGAGCTCGAGTCGCTTCAAGACCAACTGCCGTGCCATCTGGGCCGCCGTCTCATTGACCCCATTCACCGACACGATCCGGTCATCCGGACGCAGCGTGTCCTGGATGGTGCACGCTACAGGGTCGCAGCACGTGGATGAAATGGGACAAACATGGACTCACCATTTACAGTAGATCCAATTAGATCCATTTAGCTTGATTATCTACACAGAATCACACACACACACACATTCTTCACAGAAAAGGTCCTCTCTTTTTGGCTAAACAACCACCCCCAGCAACCCTACACCCCAGCTGGGCTTTGAAAAAAGCCTTCCTGGATCCAAGAACGGCGAACCTGTCACAAAAAAAACACCGACCACTCACCATCAGGAAGGGCTTCTGCCAAGACCATCAAGTTCTGACTCCCTCAGTTTATCTGGAACATCAAGTTCGACTCTTGACCAGCTGTTGGTAGAAACAAACTCCATGTCGGTTGGTAGTGTAAAAACAAACTCCCCCCAAAAGGTCTTGCAGGTAATCCACTGACTGGGTAGGACATGGACTCCAATCTCCTTTTGAACCCCCCCCAGAGAGGTTAAGTTACAGTGGTTTCAGAGTAGATGGCACAAACCCCTACATGTCCTTTAGATGGGGGTCAAAATTCACCACCTTTTGGGGATTGCGCCATCACTCGGGAACCACTGTAAAAGTTATCCACTTTTCATTGGAAGTTCTACATCCTTCATCGAGCCGCTGAAACCGAGTTCAGAGGGCCGGCCGGACCGGTCCTGGCTGATCCCGTGCTGGGCAACAAAGCCATCCGCTTCCACTTTGGTGACCTGCAAAGTCCCAGTCTCCTGGCAAGATCCCCGTCTCCCAGACCATCCATGGGACTGGAATACAATTATGCCGCCCCATTGACCCCAGCCACCACCATGTATAATGTATACGTAAATATATATGTGAATATGTCATACATTGATGGTCTGGGCGAGGAAAAGCGACTGAAGGAAAGGGGGAGAGCAACAAGCAACGCAGAACATCTAGCGGGTCCGGTGTCCGCAAACCTTCCAACAACCGCAGGCTGTGGAAACATGATCCGGGTCCGTGCTTCAAGGTAGCAAATGTTCAGAGAAACATCAGAAACATCTTCTGAACATTCCTCCGAACTCTATGAACCTATGTGTGTTGCTGTGTTGCTCCTTTTCCATCTTGCCCCGACGGCAAAAGGAACAAACACACCATCCCCAAAAGGCACCATGGCACCCCTCTAGTGGCCGAAAGGCCACCACCTGCGGACCTGTGGTCTTTTTCCGTGCTTCTCTTCCTTGCTCCGCCCTGCTCCTTCCGGTTGGCCAGGCCCAGGCCCAGCTTCCCCTTGGGCTCCAAGGTGATGCTCCGAAAGCGCGGCCGTTGAAAGTGGAGCTCCAGCAGACCCTGGCGTTTCCAGGCCGGTCCAGGCGTCGAGACGCGTGTGAAAACGGGGTCTGGGTCGGCGCGTCGTCGCCCAGACGGACTCGCCCAGAGCATCGGCACTGGCGCCGATCCGTTGAGGCGGTTTAGGGGTCCGCCTGGGGCGGCAGTCCTATGCCAGTCCCATGGCATGGTCTGGGTGGTTTTGAGGGACTGGTCCAGCTGTGAACGGAGCGTCTATGAGCGTCTGGCGGAAAATCTGTGGACCCCAAAGTTCAACGGAGACTTTCGGCGGAGGAACTTTCTGGTCAACACCTCCTGCGTGTGTCGTAAAGAAGAGGGAACCAAAGATGATGGAACCT